TGAAGATGCAAGACAGTTGTAGAATTTGAAATCACTTTGCAAATGTAAATGAAATCCACCACTCCAGGCCAATAATCCACCTTCTGTCCAAAGCTGAAACTCTCTGCCTTGTGTATTCAAAAAATGCTAAGACATACAGTCCTGCACACAGACAAGTAATGTTGTGTGATGGCAACTTTTGGCTGTCAACTTGAGTCGATCTGGAATCAATAAAAGGCAGGCTGGTGCCACATCTTTGAGGAACTTTCTTGATAGGATTGTTTGAAGTAAGCAGACCCACTCTAAATGTGGGTGGTACATGCAGGAAGTGAATCTGCTTGTTTTGCTTTCCTTGATGCTTGAGGGCAAGTGCATCTACCCCGTTGCTGCCTCTGCACTGCTGCATTCTTTTGGCAGCATCAGAACAAGCTTCTTCAGCTTCCAGCGTGAAGACTAGCCAATCTCCAAGAAAATTTCAGGCCTCCAGCATCAGATTGGAATGGCTAAGACATCCAGCCTTTGTGAGTCAAGCAACCACTAGACTCGTGGCCTCTCCTTTGAGTCAGCCATTGCTGGACAACCCGGAACGCATCCTGTAGGCCAATCTAATACACCCCTTTTAGCACATATTTATTCTATGGGTTTTGTTTCTTTAGAGCTCCCCCGAATAATATATAAGAAAACTTGGAAGGTAAAAATCATTTTGGAGTTTGTCTCAGTCAGTGTTGTGTTGGCTGTGAAGAGATACCATGACCATGGCAACTCTTATAAAGGAAAGCGTTTAATTGGTGCTTGCTTACAGTTTCGGAGGTTCAGTCCATTGTCATTATTTATGGTGGAGAGCGCGTTGGCATGCAAGCGCATATGGGGCTAGAGAAAAAACAGAGGGTTCTATATCCAGATCTACAAGCAGCAGGAAGAGAGAGAACCAATGGGCCTGGCTTAGGCTTCTGAAACACCAAAGCCCACCCCCAGTGACACACTTCCTCCCACAAGGTCACACCTACTCCAGCAAGGCCACACCTCCTTATCCCTTTCAAGTGGGGCCACCCCCTGATGACTAAGCATTCAGATACATGGGCCTATGGGGGCCATTCTTAATCAACTACCACATAATCTGTTTTAGTCAAGTTTCTATTGCTGTGATTAAACATTAGGACCAAAAGCAACTTGGGGAAGAAAGGTTTATTTGGCATATCATCAGGGGAAACCAAGGCAGGAACCTGGAGACAGGAACTGAAGCAGAGGCTGAGGAGGACCTCGGTTTACTGGCTTGATCCTCCTGGCTTCAGTTTATTTTCTTATACAACCCAGGCCAATCACCCATGGTGGTCGGAGCCTGCCTACATTAATCATTCAGAAATTGGCCTCCTACAGAACAGTCTAATGGAGGCAGTTCTTCAACTGGGAGTCCCTCTTCCCACATATGTCCAGTTTTGTATCAAGTTGACAAAAAAAATGTAAGTAAAATAGAGCTAAACGATGGATTATGGTGATACTTTATTTGTGCTGAAATGTGATTTTATTTGTATGTTAATAAAGTTGCCTGAAGATCAGAAGTCACAGCAGCCATAAGTGGGAGTCAGGTGGTGGTAGCACATGCCCAATCTGATCACATGGCAGGCAGAGTGTGTGTTCAAGGACACAGCCAGAATGGTGACACGAGCCTTTAATCCCAGTACCAACCATAGAGACCTGGAGGTCTGTATAGACAGGCAGTGACGAGGAAGTCATGTGGTTGGGTTTAGAGCCAATAAAAGGCAGAACAAATAGGCAATAAAAAGACAGGACACAGGAAGAAGGTCTCTCTCTCTCTGGGGGGAAGGACCGGCAGTGACTGGTAAGCTAAAGGCTTCCCTAGTGCTCTGATTTTTTGGGCTTTTAACTCTGCATTTGGCTCTGTGTTTCTTATTTAATAAGACCGTTTAGAATTACATCTACAATGGATTAACTCTATAGATGACAAATTACAATTTGTGGATTATTTCAAAGCATCCAAGAATCCAGTGAAGTTCGGAAGTAAAGAAATAACTAACGATTCACATTTTATTAAGAAAATGCTTGTAGTAGTGTTAAGCAATTGAGGAGAGACTAAGAAATGAAAGGCAGCTTACTGTAGGGGCTTATAAAGGGGTGATGAGTGATTGAAATAAAGGTAAATATTATGAATAAATCAGGGGGATTAATTTCAGGGTCACATTTTGCGTAGAGTCAAGTTGTTGGGTGGTAGGACATGACAGTCAAAAGGCAGAAGTAACACTAGGAGTTTCTGGTTTGAGAGTGGATAGGCAATAGACTGTCCTAAAAATGGGAGGGGAGGAGATGGCTTCTGGTTTAAATCATTTGCAGGGACGTTGTTTCATCTTGAATGATATGTGATGCACCACTATTACTCAGCTGAAAGGCCCCTGTGTGTGAAGATATACACAGTATTAGACTTCACCCTCTCTTCCCCTCCCCCACCTAATGCTCTTCATCCACTGTCAAAAGAGAACTAGGGATACAGGTCATCTGGCCAGGGACTGAAAACAGCTGGGATGATGTAGAGATGCTTTCCTATAACTTTTGAGTAGGATGACCCTTTAAGGATGCTAGGGATTTGCCCAGTAGAGAAAGAGAAGGGCGTTGAGGACATGCATGAACTAGCACAGTAACAAGAAAACAGGTATTCTGGGGCAGGTGGATGAACACACACACACACACACACACACACACACACACACACACACACACACAAAATCATGGAGAAGAAGATAACATAAGTCTTCATTGTAGATGTCGCAAGCCACGCTGGGGACATTGACATTAAACATTGGGATCCCAACACGTGGAATGAACTCTTAACAGTTCTGACAGGTACCCAGTGGCAAAGCTCCATTTTGGGGCTTATCTCATGAATTCAATCATTCTTTCACTTGTTCAATTTAGATCTGAACTGCAATAATACACCTGGCTGAAAGGAAGTAGGCTGTGGCTGCCCTGAAAATCTCAGTTTACTGTTATTAAAAGAGACAAGTGCTTTCAAAGGACAGGCAGGTAAAATGATACAGAGAGGTGTGCCATTTGAGATGAGCTTTAAAACATGCATCAGCTATGAGTTGAAGATACAGCCTTCTGTACTTCTTATGACCTGTTTCCTTTTGAGTTAGCATTTAAACTTAAAGGAAAAAAAATATAAATAGTAAGTAACTTCTGTGGGCATTATTTATAAATGACAGTGGTCATTAGTGTAATTTTAAATAGGGAATGCAACAAAATACATCTAGTTTGGTCTCGATTACTGTATATTTCTGCAGAATATATATGTATGTGTTATATATGTATACATTTATATATGTATATGGAAAGAAATGGAGCTAAAGCATTACATATTTCTCTACATTTAATAATGACGTGAATGTAGTTCTAAAGCAATTTATTGAGTGAGGTTTTGTCATACTTATATTTTGCCTCCTGGTCCTTAAAAATGCATAGTTGTTAAATAATAGTGCAATGGAGGGCTTAGAAAAGAGTGTGTTCTTGTAAAATTTATCAGGATGAAGAAAAATATAAAACACCGAGTTCAACTTTTAGAAATCACAAAAAATATGGCATTTACAGGTAAAAAAAATCTTGCTCTTAGTAGCATAGCTGTGTACCCATTCTATTCGCGTTAGCTATGCCAGCCACCCCTATGGGTTGATTACAAGCACAGAATACATTGTACTAGGTTGGAATTCAGATTCTTGGAAATCTGGGATAAAAAGGCAACATAAGACATACAGAAGTTGCACATTGAGAACACACTGGTGTGTGATTTGAACCACTGTCACATTCTTAGCGTGTTGATGAGGTGGTTCTGTTTAAGGTCTTTTTACAACCTTAAGTAAACATGTCTCTGAAAGAATTTATACATTAAAGTCAGACATCTAGAATGGGAAAAAGATAATATCTCTGCAAGCATTTGTAAGACTTGAGGTAGATGAATATCTTATTGCTGAAAACATTGCACTGATTACATATTCCCATATGTATCTTGAGAGTTCTGAAATTAGTTTCCTGTGGTACATTTATGTAGTGCTTATACATTTTCTAAAGGAAAATACAGTATAGAAACAATCATCAAGAGGATTGAGGTTTATGCTCACTTAACAGTAATTACATTTTCTTAATAAACATGTATATAAATAAATGTTTTGAAGACCATTTTTATTCTTCATGATTACAGTACTTACAAAAATTGGCACTGACTATAAATCATAAAGATGTCTCTTAATGCAAAGGGAAAAATGAAATAGCATTAAAAATTCATTATTAAATATGAGCCGCTACCGGATTATTGCATTTACACTAAGTGAAGTTCAAACACGTAATTTGTATTTCTTAGTAAAATTTTCCACAATATTTGGGAAGCAAACTCTGCAACACTCCTGAAAAGTGTATATAGTCTTGGCCTTAACTAAAGAGAAAATAATTTTCTAGCCTCCAAGTTCTGTCCATTTCCCCTAAATATTCAGATGGTTAAGTACCAGCGCCTTCTCCACAAACATTTATTTTTATTTTAATGAAGCGGGAAAGCCGATTTTAACTATAACTGGGATGTTTAGAGTAAAAAAAAAAAAAAGATTTCAATCCCAGATACAGAGAGGGGGTCGCTGGATTTCAGGAGACAATCCACCTGAGGAAAAACTGAGGAGAAACTGCTTCAGAGGAAAACACCGACTTTAGAACTTTAAAAAAAAAGTAAGGCTGCTCTCACAAAACTTAAAACACAGACAGATTCTGATCCCCCCCTCCCTTAGCCCCCCAATTCTGCCGGAGAGAAGGCGGAGAACAGGTAGAATGGCTTTTAAAATGCGCTAAAAATAGAAGGTGTAACGGTCCAGGGCTTTGACACACAGGTGAGGGCGGAGCTATGAGGGGGCGGGTCAGGGGCGGGGTCAGGGTGGGGCGAGACCTGGGTAGACGGCCGAAATCTGGCCTTGCGGGGCGGGATGGGGGCGTGGTTGGGGCGGGTCCGGGGGGCGGGGCGGAGCCGGCTCCCGTCCTTTAAAAGGGCTGGAGCGCGGCGGGGTCTTCCGCAGAGAGGGGCTCGCGGTGGCCGGCGGCGGTCATGTCTCTCTCGCGCCCCGCGTGGCCTGCGGGGCCTGCCCGGCCTGTCACCTCAGAACGGCCTCCTGAGGACCCCGCTGCGGCGTCCCCCAGCAGCCAGCGGCCCGGTCCGGAGGAGGCTGCCGGCGGCGGCGGCGTCTCTGAGGCGGGATGGCCGCTGCTGGTGGTGCCTCGCTTGTCTGAGGTAGAAAAGGCCTGGGAGTGGTCGCCCAGACCCTTCGCGGCGTTCCTCGTTCCAAAGAACCCTCCGGGGAGCTCGGCCAGGGGGAGGCGGCGGTGTGGCCTGGGGTGGCAGGACGGAACGTTCCAGACGCCCAGCGGTTGGCGGTCTGGAAGCTCAGGAAGAGTAGCTTGTTCGAGGGCTCCAGGAAGGTCTCCTGGACCAGGGCTGCAGGGCAGGGAGGCTCTGGGGGTGCTCCGTGGTGGCCGAGCCGAAGTGAGTCACTTTCCGACCGACACCTCCTCCATGCCCCGGGTCCAAAGTGTCAAACACGAGCCCGAAGAACTCCCTGTCCGAGGGGAGGAAACTCGTCTGAAAGAAAAGAATTCTGTGAGACAGCCAGGAAACCCACTTCCAGAGGTTACAGTTTCTGAGGAAACTAAGTCAACATTACATGACATTGAGGGCAGATGTAAAGTGGACAGTGTCGTAACCCCAGAGAAAAAAGAAAACAGCGTTTCATCATCTACACTAAAAATACCAAAATTTCAAAATCAGGCCTGCTTGGAAAGCGCCAAACCCAGCTCTTTTAGAGATAACATCACAATAATTTACCCCGAGTTTCCAAGGGATTTAAATAGCATCATGTCCTTTGTCTATTTAAAGGAAATAGCAAAGAAAAAGAATGACAAAACTGAGGCATATGTTAGGGATTTCACAACCATTTGCTGGTCCCAAAATAGACCCGATGCTAAGAAACAAAAGTTACAGGATGATAAAAAAAATGTATGTGTGGAAAACTGTTTTTCTGAGTATTATGAAAGTCACCACCAGTCACTCACTGTTGAAGGGAAAATAGACTCGATCGATTTAAACTACTATCACCACAGTAGTATTGAGTGTGATGTAAGAGACTCTGAAAAGAATTTCACTGTAACATTAGAAGATGTGAATAAGGAGGGAACAGAAAGGACTCTAGACTCTTACATACCTACCAGACAAGAAGGATTTCAAAGCTGGGACTATAACAGATCTGTTTTGAAAAGGAAGAGAGGAAATGATTGGATATTGAACAATTTTAGGATTATCTGTGAAACTATGAAAAAACTTGGAGAAATTTTGAGTTTGGCAAAGTTGCTAGAGACTGACCTTTTAAACAAGGGAGATTATCACAATGCAAAAGTCAGGGATGTACATGAACAACACTCAAAGACGCTGATGGTAGGAACTGTGGGTAATTCCCCCAATTTTATAGAGGTTGTTTGGTTTAATGGTGAAGGCAAAAATGCCAATATACTACAGCTGAGGTACTATACTATACAAAAATACATTTCCAAAAATAAAGACAATAATACTTTAACCTGCCATCAGACCCCTCACTTCATTTTAAAGTTCATATTTGAAGATGTCTTTAATGTTAGGCAACTGGGCACATTGTTAAGCCAAAATACAATGCACAGTGACCAGATGAATGCTATGGCGATAACTCAGGAGCTCAGCTTGGAGAACTTGTTAGGTGAAATAGAATGGAAAATATATGATTTTATTCTGAAGAAGGATGTAAAGGCCACAGAAAGTTCAAGGAGTTGCCAAGCTCATAAAGCTATCGACATAGAGAAGGAAGAGGATAGCTCTCCTCCAACTGACAGAGTGTCTTTAGTGCAGTTAGCTTCACGAGTGAGTAAGAATGTAAATGTGGAAGAAACTAAATCTGCTAATCAAAATAATGGAACTAAAACAAAAGAGGATGGAGGTATTTTGCAAGAAAGCGAGTTAGCTAATTCAAAGCATTTTCATCCAGAGAATGACTCTACATTATATGCTGATCATCAGTTTGAAAGTGATTCAAGTAGAGAGAACAATGAATGTTTTCAGGGCTTAACTGCTCAATGTTTATCAACAGAAACTCTGCCAACAGCAGAAGATTTCGAGATGAAGAGTAAATTTGATTTAGTACTTGAAGAGCTTCGTATGTTTCATGAAATTAGTAAGGAAAATGAAATTCCAAGTACAGCGGAAACAAACATTAGGAAAGAAAATTACTTTGGAGAAAGTAATGATATTAAGGAGGCAAGAATGGAGATAGAAAAAGATTTGGAAATGGTTGAAACCAATAAAAGAAATGCATCTTCTTTGCCACTCGATTTGAAAGCAGACCCTAACAAACATAAAAGGCACCAAGGTTTGTTTAATTGGAAAACAATACCTACTCATGGAGGACAGGTAGTTCCCAATGCGTATTGTCCAAGATCAGAGGAAGAACTCCTCCATTATACTTCTGAGGAAGGTATGCCATGTATTTTTAAATTTCTTACTCATGATAAAAAATTAGTGTTTTTTTCCTGTGTAAGGAAAATATATAATTTTTGGCAACAAGTAACAGAAGAGACTGTTCATGAATGTATACTATTTCCCACAGAGATCTATTAAAATGTTAGATAATAATCTGAAGTTGAAGAAAACAAGTTATTTAAATTTTAAGAGAAGCTCCAGAGTCTTATTTAATTTTTCTAAATATTAGGAGCCAATCAAAGGTAGCATTTATAAAAAACACACTTTGTCAATATTATTAACATTTGTAGACCAAAGTTACTTTCTCTAGAAAGGGTTTTAACCAGCTAGTCATTGGAATGACATAAAAGTTAGCTTGGGATATACAAATATGTTAATGTTTATTTTCAGATTTTAAGAAACCCTTCCCTAGAAGTCCTGCTTTTTCTCCTGATGAATATAAAATGGAAAAGTACAATTATTTATTGAAGGGAGGTAAGATCTTCTGTTATTTTCTCGAGTTTTAAGATGGCTGACATATTGTTTTAGCATGATGAAAATACTTTGGTTGGTAGAAAACAAGTACAAAATTTTATACCTTGAAAAATACCAATGTTACTAATTTCAATAGGTGGAAACTGGCTATATATTAGAATAATGCTGGAAATGCCCTCTGCATAATATATTCAAGTATTTTCAGTAAGGTATGTCAATAATCTAGGTGATAAGGCATGTGTTTTAAATGTGTGATTTATCATGTATGTACTATTAATTGGCAAAATACCAAACAAAAGAGAATCCATCCCAGTTGGATCCCCATTCTTGAAATGTCACTCCCATTTATGCTTTATACAATTCATTCCCATCCTGTGGGTTGCAATTCCTTTGGGGGTTGAATGAACCCTTTTACAGGGGTTCCACATAAGATATCCTGCATGTAAGATATTTACATTATGATTCATAGCAGTAACAAAATTACAGTTATGAAGTAGCAATGAAAATAATTTTGTGGTTGGAGGTCACCACAACATGAGGAACTGTATTGAGGGGTTGCAGCATTAGGAAGGTTGAGAACCACTCCTCCATATTTTATTCCTTTATGGATATTCTAATGTAGATATTTTATAAATGTAAACAGTTTACTAATACTGATCTGGGTGTGGTAGATCATACCTTGATCTGAGCACTAGAGAGACATTGACAGGAGACTCTGGTACAGGTTTGAGGCCAGAAACCAAATACACTAGCAATTACTTATTAGTTTTAGGTGATGACATGATTTTGGAGTATGACTATTATACATTTATTTTTAATTGCTTTTAAAGAAAAGAACCAAAGAAAAATTAAACAATTGCCAATAACCCTTCCCTAAGAAATTTTCAGTATCAGAATAAAGCAAAAATAAGTCTAGTATTTATTCTAACTTGTACCAGTGGGTAGAGATAAGGAGAGGATTGAAATTAGGGAACAAGTTGAAGTTAGTCTTGTGATATATTTGTGTAACAATATCAAATCCAAAAAGGCTACATTGCAAGGAAAATATATTTATTCAAGTGTCTTTAGTGAGCCACCATTTCTCATATATATTTATATGGCTTTTCACCATCAGAAGGATGCTATCCAGCACCTTCATTTTGTCTTTCCTTTTACCTCAATCTCTGATGAATTAACTTTGGAAATTAACTGATGCTTTTGGAAGATCAGGAGTAAAAGGCAGTCTCTTCTCCCCTGGAATCACGTGATCACTGGGGGACTGATAATCCATGAATCTAAAGAGTTAGGCTGGACCAGATGGAGTCTCCTTATTCCTTGAAATACAGGGAACAGTTGGATTTAGGAATCTAATTTGATGTAGACTAGAAAGAGTTGAGGAACACAGATCCACATTGTCGCACGTTATGTGGCAGATAATTTATATGTTGTTTAGACCAGTGTTGCTGTGACCTTAATGTGCATATGAATCTTCTGAAGATCCTGGTCTAGTATTCTGTTTCCATTGGAGTCAAGCTCTGAGATTGTGCATTTTGAACAGTCTCCTAGAAGACGCAGATGCAGGTGTTGTTAGGCTGTTGACCACACCCTGTGTAGCCTTGGCTGTCCTGGAACTCACTCTGTAAACCAGGCTGTCCTGGAACTCAGAGAGAGTTTCATCAGCCTCTGCCTCCTGAGTGTTGGAATTAAAGGGATGTGCCACTATGCCCTAATCCTGACATTTTTTGGGGGGTGGGTGGGGGGGGGAGGTGTGTGTTCAAGACAGGATTTATTTCTGTAGCCCTGGTTACCCTGGAACTCACTCTGTAGACCAGGCTAGCCTTGAAACACATAGATCCACCTGCCTCTGCCTCTCTAGTGCTGTGATTAAAGGCATGCACTACCACCACCCAGCTTTATGACATGTTTTTAGATACTGACTTTTAAGAACAATTTCTCACAGTTTGCTGGAATGTTTATATTCATTTAAAAATGTAAACAATAAATTAATCAAGCATATAACAATAAGAAAAAAATCATTTTTTTTCTTCAAAGGAATATATTATCAACAATATAGCTTAATGAAAGAGGTCATTATCTTACAAAAGACCTATTCCTGATAGAAATTAGTGTAGCAATTTCCTATCAATTGTAAAATTACCATAAGGCACTGTTATATTAAATGTAAAAAAGGAAAGGCGTATTCTAAAAAAGAAATAGTTGACTAATTTTGTCTTTGTTCTGAAATAATCTTTTAATGAAAAACTTCATTTTATAAAAAATTTCAAAAACTGTCTAATATATAATTAAATATGGCATATCAGCATGATCCAATAATTTTGTCTGATTTGGGCATCCCCTTAAATTTAAAAGCTTTATAAAAAACTAATAATAATATTTTTGATCATCATTAAATTTATAATTTTAATGGTAAAGTATCAAAATGGATTTACAGCTTTTGGAGGGTTAACGTTATTGATATGTAGTTAAATTTAGAATCTGTTTCATCAGTGTTACCATAGATATATTCGATTTGCTCAACTTTGAAATCATGGTGTTTAGTTTTTGATAGATTTAACAAAATGGGTTTAACAAAATGTCATCAATGGCCGGGCGGTGGTGGCGCACGCCTTTAATCCCAGCACTCGGGAGGCAGAGCCAGGCGGATCTCTGTGAGTTCGAGGCCAGCCTGGGCTACCAAGTGAGCTCCAGGAAAGGCGCAAAGCTACGCAGAGAAACCCTGTCTCGAAAAACCAAAAAAAAAAAAAAAAAAAAAAAAAAAAAAAAAAATGTCATCAATGGGTTGATGACAGTGTTTTTAGTATACTATAGTATTAAAGCCATGCTAATTCACTAAAGCCAAATTTATATTTGAGTCTTACAAATGTACTTTATAGTATTTATGGGGAAAAACATCTTAAGGGTAATGCAACATATCTACCTGTCTAAGTTAACTGAGCTAAGAAGAAATACAGCTCTGTGAAATATTCAAATTTCTTGGAAAGTGATGTAGTGTGAAGTTAAATAAAACTAAAAGTCAGAGTAACCCATAGCTGTAATTATACTTGCAATCTCTTTTTTTCTTTTTGGTTTTTTGAGACAGGGTTTCTCTGCATAGTTTTGCACCTTTCTTGGAACTCACTTTGTAGCCCAGGCTGGCCTCGAACTCGCAGAGATCCGCCTGGCTCTGCCTCCGGAGTGCTGGGATTAAAGGCGTGCGCCACCACCGCCCAGCTTATACTTGTATTCTATTAAACAATAATCTCTATTAGAAAACAAATATAACCATTAACAACATGGCAGACTTGCTTAGCTTCTAGTTGAAAAATGACATGCATAAAGTACAGTATCAAGTTGGCTTAATTTTTAATTAGTTTTTTTGGTTTATTGTTCTTATGTCAGAGTCCCTGACTGGAATACTGATCTTAGGTGACAGGTTTCCTACTCTTCCTGTACTTACCTTTCCAGACTTTAGAACTGAATATAATAGGACTAAGTATGATAATGCACTTAGAGTGGTTGGTGTGTACATCTCTAGCGAATGTGGTTAGTGTCATGATTAGAATATGGACTTTTAAGCATATTGGTAATTTTTGCTTCTTTCTGTAAATTATATTGTCATCTTTGCAGGCAGTCATTTCTCACATGGCATTTCCAGAGTGCAGCCTCTTAAGACGTGCAGCCGCCCAATTAGAGTCGGCTTGTCCAGAAGAGCTAGGCTGAAACAACTCCATCCTTATCTGAAATGAATGGGTGGTGAGGACTTAGAAGAAGCTTCTGGACTTTAATGGTTCAGCGTGTCTAGGAATGCTTTATTTCTTGCTTTGTATAAGTATTTTTTTTCAGCTTGGAGATTTTGTGCTTTCTTTATAGAGTGTAGAGAGGTTCTTTTGTGTATAGATTATTTTATTACCATTAAAAGAAAACTTTTCACTGATGTTTTCATGTCATATGATCAATATACACATTAAAGTATTTTCATGATCTTATAAACCATTTCAACTTCTTAGTTTTCATGACATGTGTGCAATCCTTTTATAGAGAAAAATCTATAACTTCTACTATTTTTTGAAAAGCTCTGTAGCTTATAAAAAGGTAATGAGCCACTGATTTAAACTGCTCTACACTTTGTCAGGTATATAGGATCTTGCCTTAAAGAGCCTTCCTCCTTCTCTCCCTCCCTCCCTCCTTCCTTCCCTCCCTCCCTCCCTCCTTCCTTCCTTCAGATAGGATATGAAGCAAGATTGCCCACCCCCTGAAATATATCAAAGGGGCTTAAAACTGTATCTGCTTCCAGTAAACATTCCTATTATTTGAGTATAAATGAATGAAATTCTTCTCTTGTCGTGTAAAATATATGTCATATAACATTCTTTTTCTTTCGTTAACTGAAGATTACATTTTGTGTTGACAGATTAAGTTGTTTGTATTTTTAGGTGCTATGACATGATCTTTGAAGCACTATAAATACATTGTAGGAGAGTTAAATCTAGCTAAATTAGCATATGCTTTACTACACAGTTATTTTTCTGGAGAAAACAATTGACATTCACTCTAAGCATTCTTAAAAGATTTTGACCTTGGGCAAATACTCCTATCTTAAAAGGGAATAATAATATCCTATTGGATGATTGTAAGAATTGTGCTTGCTAATGCTTAGGGACTTGGAACAGCTCGGATACAAAGTTAGTGCTTAACCATAAATATTTGTTGATACATAGTAACAACTACTCAATAACGGATGTTTAGAATACTTGCCTCCTGTTTCTCTTTTCTCTTGCTCCTCCTTCATGCCTCGTCTCTATTTACTTAGTGTTTGAGACACAATCTTACTGTGTAGCCCAGACTGGCCTCAAATTTGCTTTTGCCTCTCAAAATCTGGGATTACAGTGTGTGCCACTGTGACCAACTTCTGAGAAATTTCTCTAATTATGCAGACATTATATATTTTCATTTACATAGACATATACTACTTCAAGGCAGTTTGCACTACTAAAATGCCTGTTTTGGATTAGAGGATATATATCTATATCTATCTATCTATATATATAATGTGCTGTGTATATATACACAAACATATATAATATACATATACACACACATATACATGATGGACACTAAGTTATACTATACCCACTGTGTTAGGAAACACCATCATTTGAAGCTATTTTTGCTAGACAGACTCCAGTTCTTTTTCAAGGCACAGCATGTGCTGTAGAAGAGCATTTGGAAGAAATACTCACTGAGCTCTTTCACTTGCGTAGTCTCAGGGTAAAAGAATAAGCTCACAGCCTATGCTCCCTGCTATTAGCTCTTTATAATTTGGGGATAATTTAAACAAAATTCTATGTGTTCCGGAATTCCAGGCTCCATGGCTTCCTTCTTTGTTACTCTGATGTCTATCAGGAACCCCAAACATGTCACAGTCCAGGAGAAGCACCTGCTGTTTTCCCTAAAAGGCCCCCCTTCATATACTTCTCATTTCAGGAAGGAGAAACTCCATTAAGTCACTCAGGACAGAAAACTGGGAGTTATCATTGACATCTCCCCACCCCTAAGCCCCAGTGCCCTAGCAGTGTGGCTTCCCTTGCCTGACTAACTGCAATAGAATTGAGTTCCTGTTTATGGAGCTTCTTGCCTCAGTCCTCATGTCTATCTTTTCTGAACATAGTATCCAGAAAGAATCTTTGGAATATAAGTCAGCATGTGAGAGCTCAACTCAGCACAATGTAATCTTCTAGCCTTTATCTTCTTTTGATTAAGAGCCAAACTCTTACTCTGGTGCCTAAGTGCCACCCCCCACAATTCCGAAGCACCGCCTCACTATTGTTGCCTTGTATGTTCCACTGAAGACACACTGGCCTTGCTGTCTCTTGAAATAGTAGGTGTGCTGCTGCCTCAGGCCCTTTGCACTTACCTTGTTTTTCTAGGATGCTTGTTAAGCTAGTACCATATCTTTTCCTGCCCTTTCCTGTGAATGTAATCAAATGTTCCTTTTCTGTAAATGGTTAACAGCTTCCTGCCTCTACATATTTCTATGAATGGTAGTATTGTTATAAAGTACATAGTGTAGTTTTAGGAATACAACACTTAAACTACACATATTTGTCGTTGCATCTTACTTGTTCTTACCTTTTCCTTCAATACATATTTTTTTATAGTAGATTTGGTTATTTATGGTATATTTGATTCAATAATTCATGCCTTTCAGTATTTTAAATATTTAAGACTAGAAAGAAAATCCTTTCAGCATAAAAACTTCATTTCATACAAATATATTTTGTTTGTATTCTTTCCCTTCCTCCAACTTTAACCTCCCATCTCTCTCCTCTCTCAACTTCATGTTCTTTTTCTTTTTCTCCCAAACCAGGAAAACAAAACACGAAAAATAAAAAAATCAAAATCAAAATATACAAATTAAAAAAACAAAGAAAAAACCTGAAAAGAAAAAAACCAATAAGACAAAAGATACCCAAACAAAACAAAACAAAACAAAAAGCACGCATGCGCAAACACCCAAGGAGTCTATTCCGCATTGGCTAACTGGTTTTCCTTGAAGTCATCCACCACTGCTGGCTCTCAGACTCTTTCTCCCTTTTCTCCTGTGGAGACACCTGAGCCTTGAGGAGAGGGTTTTGAGAAAGACATTTCACTTAAGACTAAGTGATTCACAGTCTCTCCCTCTCTGCATACTGTCCAGGTGTGGATCTCTTAGTTAATTACCATCTACTGCAAGAAGCAGCTTCTCTGATGATGGCTGAGTGATACTTTGGGCCATCAGCATAGCAATATGTCACTAGGAGTCATTTTGCTGCTATCTTCTGTAGCAGAATGATAGTAGTAGTTTTCCCTTAGGCCCATGATTTATCTAGTCCCAGTTCTTGGCCACTTTAGCAGTGTTATCTATTTTTCACTGTTAAAGAAACAAATTTGAAAGGTTAAAAAAAATGTAGTGAGTCTGACATTTTAACTAAAATTACATTCATCTTTATTTATTTATTTAATTAATCTGCTTTTGCGATGCTGGGAACTGAACCCAGGGCCTCACACGTGCTAGACAAAGCCCTGGACCACTAAGCTATGTTCCAAGCCCAAATTGTATTAATTTTTAAAGCAACAATTCTGAGTTTTTACTTTTTCAAAAACTTATTATGGCCTTAAGGCATTTAACTCATAATCTGAAATGGAGATAGTAATTGTATCTCATAATGAGGATCATAAAGATTAAATGATCCAGTCTCTATATATACAGAGTTTAGAAAAGCATTCTGGGGGCTGGAGAGATGGCTCAGAGGTTAAGAGCACAGACTGTTCTTCCAGAGGTCCTGAGTTCAATTCCCAGCAACCACATGGTGGCTCACAACCATCTGTAATGAGATCTGGTGCCCTCTTCTGGCATGCAGGGACACATGCAGGTAGAACATTGTATGCATAATAAATAAATAAATCTTAAAAAAAAAAAGAAAATCATTTTTTAGGCTGGAGAGATGGCTCAGAGGTTAAGAGCACTGGCTGCTCTTCCAGAGGTCCTGAGTTCAATTCCCATCAACCCATGGTGGCTCACAACCATCTACAATGTGATTTGGTGCCCTCTTCTGACATGCAGGCATACATGCAGACAGCATACTGTATATGTAATAAATAAATACATAAAATCTTGAAAAAAGAAGAGCATTCTTCATTATTATTTTTAACAAATATATATGTTTCAGTGAATATGACCATATGTGGTTCATATGTCTCCCTTTTAAAAGTTCTTCATGAGTGATTCTGTGTGCATGCTGCTTGCATGTGTGTGTGTGTGTGTGTGTGTGTGTGTGTGTGTGTGTGTGTTTGCACAAGCATACATGTTTGTGTATGAGGGCATGTGGGCATGTATAGGGGCCAGAGGACAATCTCAGGCATAGTTCTCATCTTCTACCTTGTTTGAGACAAGGTCTCTTGGTGCTGCACATGCCAGGCTAGCTCAGTTGTGAGCTTCTGAGGATTCAGGGGAGTCCTGAAGAATGGGGAGAATCTCAGCATTCCATCTCTTTATAAGAGTTCTGGGATTACAGACATGCATTGGTGACTCTTACTTTTACATGGGTTCTGTGGCTATATATAGATCATTGACTTGATTGAATTCAGTATGCCTAAAATCATCATTCTTCATGCAGTCTAATTCTTGACATGTGCTGTACACTGTGAAGTTGATGAACTTTTCCTTCTAATAAATTTTCTAATACATGCATTCTTTCACATTCAGGACTTTTACAATAGGGCCTTACCTAATGTAGCTTTTGAGATTGATCACACCACATTTCCCTACAGCTAAACTAGCCTACGAATGTTTTACTTTCTCCCAACTAGTGTTTCCTCATTTGCTCAGTTTTTCCTCTCCTGGGAACTCTTCTTTCTTACCTGTTTAAATCTTGTCCTGTTCTCAATCCATCTACCTCTATAACATTGTCTCCAAGTTCCTGACCATTTCCTGCTGTGTCCACTGAATGACGAACACACTTACTACCACATTTCCTTCACCCGGCGTTTTACTTCGCTTCTGCTGCCTCTTTGTTTATCTGAGCTTGTGCATGGGTACTGTCTTAGAAACTTCTTGGTAGTCTCCAAAGCATTCAACCAGTGCATTGTAATGACAATGTTTACTGATTATGTACCCAGTGTTACTTAACATTTAATTCATGATTTCCTATGTTTGGGTTTATATTTATATTGATAAGTCTAAGAGTTTACAACATTTCTCTTCAGAAGAAAATCTAAGTAAATACAAATGATGTCATTGGTGGACATGCTGGTTGTTATTCTTTTCTCTCCTTTCCTTTCCCTTTCCTTTTCTTTTCCCTTCTTCCCTCCCTCCCTCCCTCCCTCCCTCCCTCCCTTCTTTCCAAGAAAGAGTCTCATGTTGCCCAGGCTGACTTTTAACTCCTGATCCTCCTACCTCTGCCTTCCAAATGCTCAGATTATGGGCATGGACCTCTATACCATCTTATCTCTTCTTTCTGACTCTGTATTCTTTTACTATTTTGGCCAGCTTCAAAGCAAAACTCTCCTTTTCTCCAGTGTGTTGTAAAACTATATTTTCATATGACTGAAACATACTTAAATTGTTAGGTACTTTTTTATTGCTTTTCAGTGAACTTTTTGAAAATATTTGTATATTTTCATCACTAGGAAAAAATGAGTACTTTGGAAAAGTTATTTCTCTCCATATTGTTTAGAGTGTATGTTACAAAACACGATCTCACACATGTACAGCCCTTGGTCTTGATGCATAGAATGATTCCTTCATTGTTCCTGTCATTCACCATCAGCCACTACCTGCTCTCACGAGGAGGAGAAGTTGCAAAATGCTTCATAGAATTGGCATCAATAATTAACATTTGGATTCTGCTTATTTGTAAGAACCAAGTGTAGAATCAATTGATACTTTTATAGTTAGCTAGGTAGGTCAGTTTTCCAGTTGGTACTTACTATTTTTTAATCATCTTGGTAGCAAGTTATACCAACATTTTAATATGCATTCTCAAAATAAATATCTTTGCCCATTTCGTATTTCTCCTCTTTTTTTTTTTTGTATGTAGGTTGTGGTAGAGGAGAGAATGACAAACCACAAACTCATTGGTGGAAAATTTTAATTTGTTTATAACATTAAAGTATAAAAAATAGCCCAATTTTGAGGTATACATCGATTTGTTTCTCCCAATACTGATTTGATTCACACATATTTTTAAAAATAGTACTGTTATATTTTTAATTATGTGTAAGTTTGTGCACACGAATATAGGTACCCACAGAGGCTCTGGCCTGGAGCTAGAGTTATAGGCAGTGGTGGGAATTGAACTCAGGTTCTCTGGAGAAGCACTACATGCTCTTAACCATTAAGCCATCTCCCTAGCTCAAACTTTAATATTAAAAATTATTTTTAACATGAAAGTTTATTGAATTTAATAAAAAACCATAGAGTGAAATTGAATACAGAATACTTTGGGTACTGCATACAAAGAATTTTGAAAGTGATTACAAAGAAATAAAATGTAACACACCAGTAATTCTTAAATAGACAGAACAGTAAAGTTGTATAGACCACAGATGTATTTGCCTAAGAGCTATAAATGCTTGGTAGATCAAAACTCTTGTTAAGAAATGAGAGCACAGTTTTTATAGGCCATTAACATTTTTATAATTGTAACTTTTAAGAAGTTAATGGGTTTTATTTATTAGGGTAGTTTTAGATTTACAGAAAAATAGAACAGAAAGTAAAGATTTCCTGCATATGGCATCCTGTTTCTTTATTATTAACATCCTGCACTGGTCTACTGAAGCTACATGGTGAACAAATGTTCATATATTATTGCTAACTGAAGTCTTTTATTTATTTATAGTAGGCTTTGCCTCTTGTTTTGCATATTTCCATAGGAGTTTCTGAGCACACGCTTCAATACATCCACCATTATAGTATCAAACAAAATAGTTTTACTTGCTTGGAGTGTTCCTCTATCCCGTTTATTTATTTCTCCCTACGCAACACTCTGAAACCCCTGGCAACCGTTGGTCTCTTTATTGCCACTCGGTTCTTGCCTTCCCAGAACATCAGAGAGCTGGAAGCATACTGTATGTTGTAGCTTTCCAAGATTGCTTCCTTGCTTCCTTTCACTTACCAATAGGCACTTTGGGCTCCCACAATGGTGGATTTTCTAGCAATGGATCTTTTCTTAATATAGACGTACACGGAGACCATTTTAGACTTTATCTTTTAAAGAAAAACAATCGTACACTTTAAATTGTGGCTGTGTCCCCTCAATGGCTTCCTTATGGATTTTCCATATCGTGATTCTGAGTTTTAAGGAAATTACACTGTCAACATTGACAAAAGCTTCCCAGTGAACAGAGATGTTTCAAAACACATTAAGCCTTTAAAAATGGCTCCAGAAGAGGGTTTTCACTTGATTTTGTTAGCAGGAATTGTGCTTAGGAGCTGAAATGTGACACACACTAAAATGGTCAGCTTTAAGATGTTGAAATAAACATCTATACTAGGCTTGAAAAAAATTCTAGTAACTAAAAACCCAAAGTGCTAAGCAGTGTAAAGGGATATTGTAGTTGGTCACTCTTGTGATGTCTTGTGTCACAAATACCATGATGTGCCATATGACCTGGCACACTGTCCTTGAAATCTGTGACCACAGGGATGCTAATATTGACCATCAAAAACTTAACCCCAATGTGCCTTACAGTTTTCTGAGTACCATGTAGAATTTGCACATCTCTTGATTTTAGAGCGTATATGAGCAACTATAGTTGACAACAATTTAAGACATAA